AAATAAGCCCTAATTTCAGTCACAACCCCACCCCTAACATAGGTTATTAGTGCAGATCATCTGATTGGTGCATGTATAGGGACCCCTACTTTGGTATATCATATGATGTTGTGCGAACTTCGTTTAGCGTTAGATAATCTATTATTGATTGCACATACGTAGAAGCAATGGATGACTTTATAATGACAATTGAAGACGACACAGAGATTAAAACATACAATGAAGAGGAAAATGAGGAAAATGATAATAGCCCAATGCATAAAGAGAATAAAGATTCAAGGAAACGAAAAAAAAAGGAAAAAAAAGCTTCAATAAATGAAGATATTTCATTAAAAAAAAATGATATAAATCCTGATTTCTCGTTCTCTTTTGGTGACGATAATTTTTATAATGATGTTGAAGGCTGGGATTTTGTAGCAGCTAGAGCTGGATTAAAACCCAAACTTACTGTGAGGATTGATTATTTTTTTGAACTTTGATGTTGACAACTGATTGAAGTCGATAGAATCTCTTGGATTTTATATTTACTGTGATAATAATTAAAAAAGATTCCTTCAAGGACGATCGATGAAATAATTACAAACAAGCGCAATGAAGCGAGATCATCACTAATTTTAAATACAAAAACGAATGGACGAAATAATTCAAAACAAAAAAGTATACTTCTTATTTTCATCTCTGATTATATTTTTATATATTAAATTTAATAAACTTATGGTTCACCAGAAACCAATAATGATCAATCTTTGAAAATATCCGATAAAGACAATGAAAATAATACTTCGGAAAATGATGATACTAAGTCTGCAGATGATGATGATGATGATATTGGTATTTTTATTTACGATCGAAAATTTCTTATCGAATTCCTGCAATTTTGCTAATCGTTATTTAGATGCTGATAGCTTTGGTGCCGGAACCCAATGCGATATTTACAATGACGAAAACGAATCAAGTGAAAACGATGAAGACAAAACCGATGAAGACGACGACGATCAAATGTCGAGTAGTACAGATGAATACTGGAACAACCATGAAGATCATGATAATGATTCTAATAGTGAAAGTAGTAGTGAGGACGAAGATGAAAAACAGGTTTATATGATTTTTCTTGGCACTCTTAAATGTATATTGGCATAGTTATACAAAATTAGCGTTATATACTATATAAATTAATATAATGTATTATAATAATTTTGTTTAGCATGCATAAGTTTTCAATTCTATATTTTCATTTTTTTTTTTATGCTTTCATTAGAGGAAGAAAGAATACTTTGCAGATGAATCTGAGATAATTCATTACGACAATGCTGAATCATTCCAAACAATGAATCTTTCTCGACCTATTCTTAAAGGTCTTAGTCAATTAGGATTTATACAGCCTACCCCGATTCAAAGACAAACAATTCCTATAGCTCTTATGGGTAGAGACATTTGTGGTGGTGCTATTACCGGCTCTGGAAAAACTGCTGCATTTCTGGTTCCTGTTATAGAGCGCTTACTATACAGACCAAGAAAGACTCCTTCTGTGCGAGTACTTATCTTAATACCAACTCGTGAACTGGCTATTCAATGCCATAGTGTCGCAACCAAATTAGCATCATTCACTGACACAACACTTTGTCTATGCATTGGTTAGTTATCAAATATATTATTCAATGTATGTTACATACTTATAGCTTTTATTTATTACTTACATGTCTCTTCGAAATTACTGTGTTGTGATTAATTTTTATTAGGAGGACTAAATCTCAAAAAACAAGAAAGTGAACTTCGCGCACGCCCTGATATCATTATTGCAACTCCAGGACGATTGATCGATCATGTGCGAAATTCACCTTCTTTTAGTCTAGACACTATTGAAATTTTGATAATTGATGAAGCCGACCGGTATGAAATATTATATCTCGTTTCTTTAATACTGTGATTCTAATTATTTTTCTTACGACTTTTTATTTTAAGGATGTTGGAAGATGGTTTCTCTGCTGAGTTAAATGAGATCGTAAAGAATTGTCCAAAATCGAGACAGACAATGCTTTTCTCTGCCACCATGACAGATAATGTCGATGAACTAATTCGCCTTTCATTGAATCGACCGGTACGACTAATGATCGATCCAACAAAGGCGACTGCAGTTAAGCTCATACAGGAGTTTGTTCGTGTAAGAAAACATCGCGAAGAAGATCGGCCTTCTATGTTAGTTGCATTATGTAAAAAAACATTCCGTCGTAAAGTTATAATTTTCTTCAAAAATAAAGCTACTGCTCATGAAATGAAGATAATTTTTGGCCTTTTGGGGTTGAAAGCTGCAGAATTACATGGAAGTTTGTCACAAGAGCAGGTAAAATACTAAATTTTTAAATTTTAATTAATGTTGCGGCTGATACTGAAATTTGGAGTCCCTATTTGAAAGTATGAATCCTACTAAGACCCGCTTATACTCTTTTATTAACAACTCTAACTCTCAATCTTTGACCTAACTATAAAAAAGGGATAAAAATAGACCCAAAAATTTGAAAATTTCATATGGAATAAAGTTTGAAATCGGTTTTATTTCTCATATGTTAAACCGATTAAAATCAGTTTAACATACGAAATAAAACCGGTTCCAAACCCTAATTTGGAAGTAGGTCCAAATCTCAGTATCGCCAATTTAGTATCAACTATGATAATTAACTTCTTTTTTTAATCCGTTTCCTTATTCGACACGTATATAGCGCATGGAGGCTCTTGAGACTTTCCGAGATGGAAAAGTAGACTTTCTCTTAGCTACCAATTTGGCATCGCGAGGTTTGGACATAAAAGGCATTGAAACTGTTATCAACTACGATATGCCACAAAGTTATGAGCATTATATACATCGTGTCGGCCGAACGGCTCGTGCAGGACGTGGTGGACGGTATTATTTATTATTTGTTCGTGGTTTCATGCCCATTAATATTTTTGCATTTATTGAAATGGTATTATAATTTATAGATCAGTAACTTTCACAGGAGAAGCAGATCGCAAGATTTTAAAAATGGTGATTAAACATGCTAAAGGTCAAATTAGAAGGCGTAATATCGATGCAGAAATTGTTTCAAAATATCGCGAAAAGTTTGATAAATTAAAAAATCAAATTAAAGAAGTCATTGAAGAAGAAAAAGAAGAAAAAGCTATACGGCTTGCGGAAATGGAAATACAAAAAAATAAAAATCTTTTGGAGCATGAAAAGGAAATATTTAGTAAGCCCGCTCGGACTTGGTTTCAGTCCAAACAAGAGAAACAAAAATCTAAACTTGCTGCAAAAGAACAATCTAATAGTAATGTCGAAACTTCAGAAACAAGCAAAAAGCGAAAACGAGAAAAAACTGTAAAATTAAAATCAAAGCGCGACAAACGTGCTAAAAAATCAAAATCAAAACGTTAGGTACGTTAGGTTAGGTTATTACGTAAATGTAGTTAGTAATTGAACGAGTTTTTTAAATAAATATATAATTATTTAATTGCTAATCCGCCTAAAAATATATAAAGTATATTATCCGACAAACTCATATGATCATGGCGCAGCAACGGGCTGTTATTTTTTAACCCAAAATGACGTAATGCCAAATATTTACAATTTGTACAACTAGACTTCGAGCTTTTAAACTTACAATATCGGAACCATTTTAATAGGTCGAGTCTGTGATGTCATAAATTAAAAACCCGAAGCCTAATATTGTCTTTAAATAACGAAAGCAATGATCATAACAGTGTTTTTTTTTTTAAAAAAAAAATCGTTTTAAAAAAAATATAGATTACTCATCAATAAAATGATGATACTTTCTAATAATATTGGTTTTGACGAAGAATTTACACCATCGGTTAATTCAAAGAAAAATTTTTCGAAGAAAATGATCCTTTTAATGAAAGTTTTATTACTAATAAAGAGATTTTTTTTTCGATAAAAATAATTCTTTAAATGAAAGTTTTAATAATGATAATACATTTGAAGATAGATTGCCTTTCTCAAAAAAAATTATATGTAATATATGAAGCATAACATTCTACGCCGCACTATAGATAGTAGGCGAAGCTTATTTTCAAAAATGGCAAATGACGAAGCCTAAACCCAAAAAAGAAACCCTGTTGGAATACTGAAACCCTAGCGAAACGTGAAATCTCGATGGATTCTTATAAAAATATGCGAACTTCGTGAAAGTTAAACATGCGACTTTTAATCTTAATCAAGATAAACTTCTTTTTTTTTACTTATCGTCTAATTGTTGGCTATACAATACCAAGCAAATACTCAGATTAAAAATGCGACTTTCAATTTTAATAAATGTAAATTTTTTGCTTATCATTTTAATTGCGTTTTACATATGATTAAAAAATGTATTAAGACTAATTTAAATTTTCTTAAAATTTGCTATTTTTTACAACTTTCAATTTTAATGATTTTGCCAACTTCTAGTTTGTCTCATTTTGCCAGTTCACACATTTCGCAGTTTCGACATTTCATTTTTTTTGCTTTTTTTTTAGCAAAAATCGAAATTAGGGTTTTAACTTTGCCGGCACGAAACCTCAAGTTGTTTATTCAGAACAAACAAATTGTAACGTTTGATTTTAACCGTCCAAAAACTGTTCTTGAAAAAAAAAAACTTGAAAAACACACGTAATTGTATATAGAAAACATCTCAGATTAATTGAATAAAGTAAATTATTTTGTTAACGTTAAATATAAGCTTATGTAGTATGAAAAATATTCATACATACATACTATTTTTATATATTCAAATGCGAAGATTTATTACCTTTTTTTTTTCTGAAATGCACATAGTCATAATAATAGATAAAGCTTATTGACGCTCGTTTAGATTATTAATACTAAAAAAAAAAAAAACTTTGTAAGATAAACTTTATAAGCAATTCATCTGATTAGCCAGAAGCTTACTTTTTTAGAACCAATTTCCATAAGACAACTCACACCCGGCGATAGTCAATTTGACTGGCGTAACTGTTTCCAGGGCTCATGTTCCCTGAATGTGAATATGTCTTATGGTATTATAAGTGAAACCCAAAACCTCTTTCGGAATTGGCATCCTTATAATAGCCAAAGGCACCATGTTTCTGAAAAAGCAGTAAATCTGGCCAGTAAATTACTTACTTTTTTTTCGTCAGACACAACACTTGCTAATTCCTGCTTCGTGAAGTGTATCTTCGTTCGTCTTTAAGTTCGTCCGTAACATCATTCAAAAGTCTGCTATAACAAAAAAAAATGCTATATAAAGATTATTTTGATTTTAATAAAAAGAAGGAAACTTTTATTGATTCTTTTAGTTACCTTAATAATTAAAACTACCAAATTTTCGGTTGATTTGTTATAAACAGTGCAAAATTTATCATTTGTTTATTTATATGATAAAACACGATTATCAACCAATCAAATCATTAACTGATACGTATTTGAAAATCAATACGTAACTGTATTGTTTGATATATATATATATGATAAAAACCTCATTGACAATACGGGACAATACGTAAGTTATAAGAAAATAACCATATGGATTGGATATGTTTGCTAAGAACCGAACTTCATGCGCTATTTACTAATCCCCACACTTTCTATTGAGATTACTTACATGTCACAACTTTTTTAAATGCAACATTTTGGTTAGGGTTGACGATAGGTTTAGATGTCACAACCTTTTTTAGCAATATTCGGTCGATAGGCTTAGTGGATAAAGTCATACCAAAATTTTGCGAGTTTTTTTTTTTATTAATACGTGGAGATTAACGTGATTTTTCGGCTTTGCTAATTTTCAATTTACACCAGATTTATTTACATGAATAATGCAGATTGGCTATAATCGGAAAGTGTGAAGAAAATTAGTAAATTCTGGATTGCATAATGATATTTTGAATTACCGATCATTAAAAGTAGACGATTCAACCAGCAAGTGTCAGACGGTGGTTTTTCCTAGTCCATTCCCAATTTAAGCTCTAGTAGTATCGGTATTAAATTGGCAATTATTACACGTCAACCAGTAAACTGGACCACCAGGGTTATTCTTTGATTATGATCCGGTAATAATCTTATAACGGGTGGATTTAAATTTATGATTTCTCCCAAATGACCCAGGTAACCTGTCGGGTGACTTTTTAGCTGACTTGATTTTCATCCGGGTGACTTATAGCCCACCCGTCAGGTGAGGGACAAATACCGTTTCTGATGGATTCTAAAAGAAGGTCTCTAAAACACTATACTACTGTAGCGAAGTATATGAAAACAAAATTAGGATCAGAGTTCGTTTTTAGAACCCTATCAGGAACAGTACTCAAATAACCCTTTTTTTTTTTTTTTTCTTTTTTAACACCATCAGGATCGATACTGCCGAATAGTATTTTTGCATCGGATAACCCGGGTAAAGATTTTTTTAGATGGGCCAAATCACCATGAATTTTAGGAAATGTCCAACCATAGCACTATTAAAATTTCAATTTGTCCATATGAGCGGATTCAATTCCAATCTAATTATTGGTTAATTTACCTCGTACGATATTAAAATTTGGGGCTTTGTAAAAGTAACATAATATCTTCCCTTAAATATTTATGTTCAGCAAGGTTTTTTAGTTTCCTTGATCCGAAATTACTATTTTTTTTTTGCTTCTAAATTTTTATTAGCGATAATTTCGACAGGTAGACAGTGTAAAAAATACACATTGTCGAAGGTTCCGCAAGCTAATGTTGGATCTTCATTGTTTGAATTAATCGTCAAGTATCTTATTTACTGTATGCGTTTTAAAGTACTTTGAGAATGTAATGTTTATTTTATAATAAAATTATTCACTGAGGGAGTTTCGGAATTAATGTGAAATTTTGTGGAAGTTTCTGTAAACTTGATTACACGTCCATGTGATTGGCTGGATTATATACGCATCGATTTGATCGGTTGTCGCGAAAGACGGTTAGCGTTCGATTATTTGCGGGTATATATTTTTAGCAAATTGTCACGCCGTGTGATGTCGAGTCGGGGAAATAACTTTCGGGGAATCGTGCCGTAACCATTTGATCAGGGTGTTCTCAAGCAGTTCCCTCAATTTTGCATAAGTTTCAGTAATATATATAAATTTCACACGTATACATAGTATCCAGTG